AAATTTGTGTTTAAACCATTTTATCAATGTTCTATCAAAACAATTTTTTTAAGAATTAACAGATTTCAACAAACATACAAAGTAACTTTAAAAACCAAAGTATTTTAGCTACTTTTTGAACCCATTGATCTCATCATGCTGATCACATTCAACATCTTACATTATAAAGTAAGAATACTTTGGTTTTTAAAGTTACTTTTAAAGTTTTTAAACCAAAGCATTTTTAAGCTACTTTTTGAACTCATGGAACCATTGGAAGGGCTTGGCTCCATGATGGCTGCTTGCAGCTATATTATTTTTATTAGTTTTGTAAATAATTCCACTTGGCTGTAATTTATTTTTATTTCTGTTTTAGTAATTTTAGTACTTAAACTTATTAAACTTAAGAGAATGTTATGTTACTGATCAACTGCGTGAACTTCAATTGTAGACTCCTTTCTTGTTTCGAAGCAAAACGCGGGACTGAGGGACCCGCCCACTCCCACCAGCAGCAAAGGTAAAACAGACCCACTCCCGCGAGATTTGCATTGATGTCTAAATATAAAAAATACCATGTATACATGGTTTTCCCTGTTCTTTGGTGTTAATAATGAGTTGATTTTTGTAAACGCAATCAATCAAGCAGCCCTCAGATACACCAGGACACATCCCAAGATGTGAAAGACCATCCTGTTGAACAATTCTCAGGTTTTTAACATCTTCCTGTCCACCAGCCATGTTGCCTTTAGCTAACATTTTAAAAACACTGATAGAAAGGTCAGACTAGAGAAGTATGAAATAATCTGCACATCCACCGCCCAGAAACACACACACCATCACTCAGTCAGACAGAAACTGCATCTCAAAACATGCACACAAACACACACATCATTAAATCACAAACTCACTCTACTGCAAAGTGAGGAGCAGGGAGTCATTAAAACAAGACGAGTGGTGATAAGAAATGATTGGAAAGAGGGCATGAAAGAGTGATTGAACGTTGCGACCAGCTGGAAAGTGTTTATGACCCTCACGAACAAGGAGTGCGCAGTGAAGTAAATTTAATATGTGTGAAACATTTTTAAGGGGCTGTTCACACAGGACACCATTTTTTGGATAGCCAATGAAAACATGAAGACGGATGTCTTTGCTAAAACAACTAAAAATCATGATATTGTTATTTTTATAACGAATATATGACTTTCTAGTTATACCAAGCGCTAAAATATTTTATTGGGTAGAAATTGAGTGGTGTGTGTGTGGGGGGGGGGTCTTCATATATTGTTAACATCTTTTTTTTTATATATATATAATATGCTTCATCTAGCTGCTTTTACCACATTAGCGTGTCCTGTGTGAACTAAAAGCTAAAAAAGAAACCTGCTGTAAATATCAATCAAAACGCCACAGCGAATGATGTCATTGGGAAAATGTGACATTACATCACTGCACTCTGTTCTTCTGGAATATTATGTGTATGCGCAGCAGGGCCGTCACTTTAATACATGGAGATGGTCACTGAGACAACATTTTTTGGGTGGCCCCAATTAGTTTTTCGGGTTTTCGAACTGGGCTCCATGGAAAAGTTTAGAGAAAAACAGTGTAAAAAAAATATATATATAAAAAATAATAATACAATGATAAATTAAAATGTAAATAAATTAATAACAGTACAGTACTATAAGGAGCAGAACATTCTAATAATGTGACGTAATAGACACTAAATATTTTCCATATAATATTTTATTTGTAATATTAATTTTTCACAGTATAAATTGGGTCTTTATACAAAAACCTAAATAGATGCCTTTTAGATTTTAGGATGGCAGTCTCTCGCAGTAAAAGATTGAAAAGCCCTACCATAGAGGACCTCAGTGAGACCACCCTGTCACAGTGCCTGTGTATGTGTGTGGAGAAAAACACATCTGCGTGTGGAACTGTGAAGGTCTTCCCCTGACGTGTCAGAGACATCTCCGCAAGCTCTTGCCGCAACCGCAAACTGCTCTGAACTTCGCTGAGGTCTGTGTTTTTTTTAAAGAATGAACCGAAAGGCAAAGCTGAACGTGAGCTGGCATTGCCCGACTCACCAGCCTGCAATTGTGCATATAAATATCTGTGGCGCGTCTTAGGAGACGGCTGAATCTGCACTGATGCTGAGGAGAGAAGACAGGGTCCCCTCCCAAATGGATTGTCATATCAGATTTAGGTGTATAGGTTATTACACCCTTGGGCTACTGTTTCCAGCACTGTCGTCTGGATGGGCCGGATTGAGTTTCCGAACTCTCTCTCCCTCTAAAACCAAGCGCACACACACAAACACTCAGTCTTTATTTCCTCTTAAAACTTTCTGTATGTCATTCAGTTAGACAGCACTCAGGTGAAAAAAAGTTCAAGGGATAGTTCACCCAAAAAAAATGTATTCTGTCATCATTCACTCACCCTCGTGTTGTTCCAAACCTGTATGACTTTCTCTCTTCAGTGGAACATAAAAAAATGTGCTCTTTGTCCACACAATGGAAGTCAATGGTAACCAAAACCGTTACCAGCATTCTTCTAAATATCTTCTTTTTGTGTTCCACAGAATAACTAAAGACATACAGGTTCACACAGAGTAAATTTGGACAACATTTTCCTTTTGGGGTAAATTATCACTTTTAGGATTTTTTTTTGTTTCCTTTTGAAAATATTTTGTGTTTGTAATACCTGGTAATTCATGGTTCAGAATCAAATTTCAGTTACGCCTCTTGAGTTCAGACTGTAACTGTTCTCTCACTGAAAAACTGATCAGAAGGTTTGACTCAGCCAACTTATTACACAAAACACCTAAAGATAATATTCACGCACGGCACATCGCAGGCTAAATTAATGAATATAGTCTATAGAGACAAAGTGAAGCTCACAGATGAGTGCTATACTAAAAAAAAAAAAAAAGTCAAGAAATGAACCTGATCTATGGTATCACAGAGTGGGCTGTCTGTCTCAAAAGTTGCACAAATTCAGACTGGAACTGCAAATGGCAGCCACTGGAGGGAGCCAGCTTTAATTTAGCCATGGCTACTTGAAAGTGACTTTTAAGTACTCTATTTCCAGGGTCTATCTCCTAGGAGTAACCTAGAGAGGTTAAGTGCCTTGCTCAAGTGAATTCAATAACTCTCCCATTTCTAATTCGCCCCTAACCGGAACTGAACCCTTGACTTCTGCAGTCAAGATGCAAAACCATTAGGTAACGTTCACCTGTAGACCTAGGAGAGGACAAAAGTCTCATTTATTAAGCCGTCCACGCTCAATGAACATGCTTTAACTGGACTAGCCTGAAAAATACAATTTGTGCACATTATTTGACATATGATTCGTAGTTTCAATTTCATTCTTTCACCAACAAAACAGCTTTATGTGTGCTACATGATTCAATAGCACAGGACTCTTGAGGAATTACAAGAAAACATCAGCAGCTTATTGATTTATAGAAGAAATGACTAGACTTGCATTGCTTCTCAATGAACAAACTGAACAGGTCAGCACCCAGAAGGTCAGCATGATGTAAAACTCTTATGATGCCTTTTAATTTGTCCTCTAAGAGCCAAACGCCACTTGTGCTAATGACCTGCATCTTTAACAACTATATTCAGGTGATACTCCAGTGTGTAAATCAGTTTGTCACTTGAATGCACATGAGGGGCTTCTTTACACACTACCATCTTTCAAATCCTGCTAAACTAGAGGCTTGGCTCATGTATATTAACCAGGTTACGTTATACTTATAACTGATTGGCTGAAGTGCAGCCGATAGCAAATTGGCACTTGGTCGGGAATTAATTTGAGCAACGCTACTATTGGTTCATTAGCATTAATTGTGTCACATGGCAGTTTAATCTAATAAGGTAACCAAGCAACATCAAGATGACCTAAACAATATTCATGAACTAGGCCTAATCCATATAGGGTTGATAAATAGGCCCCATGACAGCTAGAAGACAAATCGCCAAAAACATGTTGGCTACGGTAAGTTTGATTTATAATGAACTGGTTCATTCGATCATAAGAAACAACACAATTTATTATATTTAAATACACGTACAGCTCTGGCGAGTTGTAAACCAGCACTTAACCGTCATTGTGAAAGGCTTTATATCAAGTGCTGCTTTAATTTCAATAGACAACATGTTGCAAAAAAAAAAAGCTTTACAGAAAAAGCTCTTTGTCCTTGTGTGCTTATACGGTTGTCAATCCTACAATTTACACCTGCTGTACTTCTGGTAGTTCTGCTACTTTAGGTTTTTGATTACGGACTCATTTGTCTAAACTGTCTAAACTGTAATACAGTCAGAAATACAGGGCAAGATCATTGCATGCATAAAAATATGAGCTGCCTGATTTGAGATCTACACTATCTAATAAGTTTAAAACAATTTAGATTGATCCTTAACATTTCTGAATTCCTTTTTTGTTTATCAAATGTTGTGTTGTGGAATGTTGTTGTCTAAAACCAAACTGATGGTGGAGGAGGAGGAGGTTACAGTTTATTAGTTGTTCTGATACAACAATCATTGACATAACTGGTAAGATTGATATTAAACGTTAATTGGAAATCAGGCTGGAATCCCCCAATTTAAACTGGTGTATACAGCCTTTTTCCATAATGTTGGCAATTGATAGATTTATCAAGTGAGTTAATGGAGCTATCATTAAGTAACTATATTTCTGAATAAAATTAAGATCCAAATTGTATATATCCTTTACTGCTGAATTTGGTAATATATTTTTTATTAAAATTATAAATATATTTAAAAATATATATATATTTAAAGTGTAGCTTAATTTATTCTTGTGGTGTTTTCTGTAAAATAGTCTTCACACATGATCCTTCAGAAATCATTCTGATTCTGATTTAGTGCTCAAGAAACATTTCTTATTGCACGTTGTAATATTCAACCAACTCTGTTTCATATGAATGTTGATAAAACTGTCAAAGTCTGGTGTCTGGTGGTGGCCAGAAGACAGTCATGAATAAAACACAGTACCTGGCGGTGTTTAGCAGAGGATGCTTCGTCCCCACAAGCTTCCTAACATGCATGGCCACGTTGCTGAGCTCGTCACTAAGTAAACAGCGTAAACTCATGAATGAAGTTGGATATCCTACGATCTTTTCCGCATCAGACACCACTTTAGTCCAGTTAGAGGGAGAAGGATTGGAGAAAATACTCAGATGCCTCCGTCCAATGTAAGAGAGTCGTGACCTCCAAGCCATTTTATAAACAAATAAAACTAATAGACTAGTTATTTAAATGCATGAATGTTCATTGGTACTTTCAGATAAGTTCACATCAGGAATCTGACAGTCTTTCACTTTTTGAGTGTCAAATCCAGCAGCCTCTGTCCTCCCCAATGTCACCTCCTTATGTAAGAAAACTGCATTTTCTTCATCATAGAAGTCTCCTTCGCTGATCGAGCGATGGTCTCTGGTTAATTCAAGTACATTTGTCCAACCCGATGGTCTGTGCTGTTTATCGAGTGTCCGGTTCTACGAAATTAAACTCTCACGTTTTGACAGCTGGTTGCACCGGGTCGCCATCTTCTACGAATCAGTTTACGGTCTGTCGTAAAGACTACGCGATTAACCCCTTCGTCACCATAACCCTCTTCAACAAAACCTTGAGACCATACATTTTGGTATCAGGCTAAAGAAAAAAACTTTTACATTTCTTAAATAAATTATTTTTTCTTTTTTTGAATCGGTTGGAAACAGCAATCTTTTCAAGGTTTTTCTCTCCGTGTTTCTTATTTTACATTGGACATTAAAGTCCCCATGAAGTTTTTTTGGGCTTTTAGCATGAATATGTTAGCCTTACTGGTATCTATAAGCTAATGTGCTCCAAAACAATGACAAAATTCGCATTTAGAAGCTATAATCATATATATATATATTTTTTTTAAATTTTATAAGCAAATATAAAATAAGATCAATAGATCAATGATTTGATATCACTCTGCACTTCAGCTTCTCATCAGATTTTCTGTCCAATCAAAGACTCTCTAGAATCTAAAGCACCCCGCCCCCTACATTATAAATAGATGCTGAAGCTGCAGCTAAAATCTGTCACTTTTTCACACATTTACTATTTTCTACATTGGGGCGAATGGTTTCACATTAGTGTCATGCGAACCGCCGCAGCGTTCACACAGTCTGCTCCAGTCCAGAGACACGATAGCACAGAGATCTGCGAGAGTCAGCGCATACCAGAAAACATATTGGATACATTTGAATTCTGCACAATGCTATATTTTAAAGCGATATCGAGGAGATTAGGAGAAGTTTAACGGCTCTGGCCGAGCTGTGATATAAACTAAATGCTATTGGCTCTTTTAAAAAGGGGAGGAGCTGTTCGATATGTCCTGCCCTGTCTTCCTGTTTCAGTGGAAATTGCGTTAACATTGAATAATGATGCAGTTTCAAGGCACTTCAGTGACTTTAAGGGGCAAATATTATATTTGCACCAAAATACTACACTTGTTGATTACACATACAGCCTTTGATAAAAACAATGAAAACTATCATCTTAAAAACATCTTCATAATAAAATGCATATTAGAATAACATCGTCAACTCAGTAAACACAGCTTCAAACACAGTAAAAACTAACTTTTTGAGTGGAAACATTGTGGCCATAAAAGTGTCACCATCTGTGATAGGTTTTAGCAAAAACGTGAATTTCCCAACAAAGGCTGCAGTGTCCAAATAAATACATTGTCCTTCAATTACACAAATCAGGTTGTGTAAAAAGTAACTTTTGACATCATTAATGTTCTTGCGCTTAAGTGAAATTCCCTCCTGGCTTTTAACAGTTGATACAGCTGAAGTTGTTATCCCATGGGATTCATTTGACTGGCATGATCTCAATATGGGGATTATCACAAATCCAGAATAATCACTCTACAACATGCAATACAGAGCAGTGTTTCTCAATCGGGTGGGTCACAACTCAAAAATGGGTCACAAGTGTTTTCTAATAGGGTCATGCAGGCTAAACAATGGGAAGTGCAAATAATAGAATCCAACTAACCATATAATCACACATGATTAGTATGCCTTATCAACCTTAAAGGAAGGAGAAAATCCATAATTGACTTCAATTGAACTAAACTATGACCTTGCATTACTATATTTCATGCTATAAGATATAAGACAGTGAAGTTAAAGATTAAGATCATTGGTCCAGTTCAGTCTGGTAAACTGATGCCTTGGGTCACAATGATTATGTGATCTGGTTCATTTTTGCTATCCTATTTGACTCAAATGCAGGGCATCTTTTATTTAGTCTTTTGAAGCTGATCAAGAATCAGTAAAGGTGCGGCAAAAAAACAAAAACAATCTTGCATATTTGACATAAAATAAATATTTAATAGAACTGCTTAGCCTATATATCTAAATAAGTTAAGCAATTTTCAACTTTTTTATAAGTTATACAAGATTTAACAAATTTCTAAGACAGTTTAATGTTGTTGAAATTTAAACATTCAAGTTGATTGAAAATTACAAATTTGAGGCAGCATCTACATATTTAGATCATATTTGCAATGTATGTTTGGCCATTTTTACATTTAATGCCATTTAGTATAAACACACACACACACACACACACATATATATATATATAAATATATATATAAATATATATATATATATATATATATATATATATATATATATATATATATATATATATGGGCCTATATATATATATATATATATATATATAGCCTACGACCCAGACAGCAACATATGTGTCGGCCCAGAGAGTGTATCCCAGCAAGCTATGGCTCTGGTTGTGTAGTGATACATAAAAGCGTTGGGTGAAGCGGTCATAGCTGTTTTTTATTTTGAATAAAACACAGCTATTGACCAATCAGAATCAAGGATTGGAACTAAACGTTTTATTATATATATATATAATATATATATATATGTGTGTGTGTGTGTGTGTCTGTGTGTGTGTGTGTATGATTATACAAAAATAATATTGCAAATATAGATGATAAATATTTACATAAATGTATAACTGCTATATATTTCTTGCCGTATCGGTGGATCCCCCTGTTAAACTTGTGGCTTGCTTTTGGCGGGGATCAAACTGGCAATTTTCTGACAATGTTAACCAAAATGCCACACCGCCTAATTTTGTACACATGAAAAAGAACCTATATGTTTGAGAAAATTGAAAGACACTTTTAAAAGCAGGAAGATGTTTAGCAGAGAACTTCCAATGTGATTAACGGTACATATTCACACATGCTGCTTTGGGCAGAGAGACTGACAGAAAGAGAAGAAATTAGGGTCTCTCTGCTCTCCTCTCCCTTTGAAATTCAATAAATTCGACCTTCTATTTAAGACTAGGTTGCATTACTTTAATCAACAACACATGGCACATGAATCTCAGATTCCCCCAAATACCTCTCAGCTATTTTACAATTAACTGTCTAAGAAGTTATTTACCAAAAGACTGTGGTAACGCTGGTAGATGCCCTTATCAAGATATAACTAATATAATTTCTTAACAGTGGATCAATAAAACTGTTATGAGTTTTCAATATCTGACTAGGCTGGAGCAACTTGGTGCATAAACCAGGAACCAAATCAGTCCAGCCTCAGAAAATGTTTACTTATGAAATCTCTGATATGTCAACTGCCCTATTTTGTTCATAACCTTCATGTTTTGCATAAAAAGTTCTGCTCATTTGCCAACAAACTCCTCTTCGAAGTTCAAAACATTGATGTTTCTAATGGCACTCTATGAAATTATATCAACACAAATAACCAACCATCCGCTATGATTCCTGCAGAGCTCTTTTTGGGTCTCCACGTTCAATTCACCTGTCGTTCTTTATTTGCTGCAGTACAGTGTTTGCTCACAGCTTCATTCGTCTCTTCGATCTAATCCTAGTCATTCTTTCAATTGTTGTCACTTATGATTAATTAACAAATTAAAACTGTAATCATCACATAATTAAGAGGTCTGTTGTACTCCAAGACGTAATTTAATCAAACCGAAACTTCACAAGCAACATTTGTCTTTCTATAGAGTTGTCTGGAACTGGAGATAGCCTAACCAAGACAGCAAACTGTTGTGGTATGTTTGAAAGTTCCTGTTCAATGTATCTGGTATAATGGTAGACCTCAGTGCATCTAGAGGGATTCGTGGAAAAACATCAAATAAGCTGGTTTACAGTAGACATACATAAACGTTTTTTTTTTTTTTTTTTAAACGAAAATAGATGATATTTTGAAGAATGTTGGTAACCAGACATTCTTTAAAATATCTTATTTTGAGCTCAACAGAAGAAAGAAAGTCATACAGGTTTGGAACCACTTGAGGGCGAGTAAAAGATGATTTTTGGGTGAACTATCTTTAAAAACCTGGGCGTCAGTTGTCTTAATTTAAAGAAGTATACAATTTATGAAAATTGGCAAGTCATTAAACAACTGAAAGCAATCTGCACTGGAAGCCCACTTGCATGTACTTTTCAAACAGCTGTTTTTGAATTCCCTCATCTGTTGACCCTCATCTGACGGCTGTTGTGTGTTTCAATGGAAAGCTGTTTTGCATAGTGCCTGCAGGTGATCCGAGTCCCATTTAAAGATAATATAAGGTGAGTTTCTGCCTTTAAATGAAGGGAGGAATTCAGTTGTGTGTACGTGAAATAAAGATATCATGCTACGGCGGATGAGACATACACATCTCAGAGAGAAGCTTCATCTGTCCCTGTGATTGTAAAACGAATGTTTATTTTTCACAAACCAGTAACGGATTCTGCATCCAGCTGTTTTACATTTACTTTTAATTCCTTTTGTAATACTTCCCTCTTGTAGAAATCCCATAAGTATCTTTTTGAAATGGAGACCCACTAACACACGCATTCTCTCACACACACTTCAGCGGACACAATGCACACACAATATAAACAAGCAGGGATTACAATGAGAACAGAAAAGGCTGATGTTGTCTCATGACCACACTTTTTCCACCAGGCGTTTCCCAAGAGACGTAAATTCCATCCTCTAATCTTATTTGTCATTGCATATTAGGGCCTTACTTGTGTTTACAAACCATATTCCTCTGCACTTGATACACAAGGCTAAGAGCTATGGAATCGAATCGGAGTGAAAGCCAATCCACGCTGGAGAAAACACAGTTTGGGCTGTGAGAGAAACGGGTTGAAGCACCTCCTCTAGTATCAAGAGGGGTAACAGTATCCCTGCTAGAATGTAACTGTTTATCATGGGCTAGTGTTCGGCAGGGGCTGCCAGAGCTGTGTGTGCTAAACAATGCACTCATTCAGGCCGTCGCGCATCTGCTAGTGATCTGGGACGGGACGTCGATACGCTCTCAAGGACGACGGCCTCTGGTCCGATCCAGAGGAGAGAGGAGGTCTCGTGCCACCGTGTCCTACATGTGCCATGCTTGAGAGCGAATTCACCAGTGGATTGGAGGAGCAAGAAAAGAGAAGGAGGGAAACTGGGAGTGATGTATTTTTGGTTAAACATTCAGATTTTTCTGTATTTTACATCAATACAAACAAAAAATCATGTGTGTGACTCCATCACTCCATCTTTACAGTCCATTAACTCTTTCTGTCAAAAGTTGTAGGCATGTTCCTCACAGAATATCAGGTTTGGTTGGTGTCTGTAAGAGATCAGCCTTACCTTACCTTAGTTGCAGGTGGACCTGTGTGCACTTTTAGATGCCCCCCAAAGTGGTTAACTCTGTGAGCCAAAAATGGGTCACAGGTCTGTTTTGATAAGGTTAAACAGGCATATTAAAATGCAACTCACCATGCAATCATGCATCGCAAAATAAAACACTTCCCATATCTTTTTTTATTAGCATCAAATGTCATGTGTCACTCAAATAATGTTTTACTGTAATATATTTTGCTGCAAATTCACCTGTCTTTAATACTAATACAATATTTGTTCCATGTTTATATATATATAAATGTATGAATACGAATGTATCAATTTTTTGTCATGTTTTTGTTTGCTCATTGTTGGACCTTTGGGATTCATGATAATTAAAAATAAATTCTGATTCTTAGAACTTTTTGTTCACTTATTATTTTAAGCTTCAGTGAAGATCTGCTACTTTTGACTAAATGTGTGTGTGTGTGTGTGTGTGTGTGTGTGTGTGTGTGTGTGTGTGTGTGTGTGTGTGTGTGTGTGTGTGTGTGTGTGTGTGTGTGTGTGTGAGTGTGTGAGATTGAACAATACTTTAGACAATTAAGCTAAATTAAGAGCTTTTAGGTGCAAATTAAGTGTCACAGGGTCATGTATCATATATATATATATATATATATATATATATATATATATATATATATATATATATATATATATATATATATATCACTCTCTTGCTTGTAACACATTTGTTTGGCCCCTGTAAAGTAGGGCCTATTGTCTGTCACTCCAGCGTGGGTTTTAATTACCTGTAGATATCTCTCTCATAAACACCATACAACCCATTATGGCAATTCCACCCGTGCAAAGATGTTTAATTAAAAGGAAATGATTAGGACCCCTTGACTGTTTCATTTCCATTAATTGTCTCGTACGACAATATCAAGAACCCCCTGCGGAGCGCTGATAACGCGCGCGGGGTGAATGATAACACATCAGACAACGGCACCTATTCACTCCTATCGCGCGACAACCTCCGCCACGCGTGGAGTCCTGAGTGAAAACCGATCTGTGGAAAATTGGGGAGGAAATAGCCTTCCCGGGATCAGCGTGGCCGTATAGAGTTGCGGTGGAGGCCCCTCCCCCTGTCTGGCTCGCTCTTTTTTTCTCAACCCCTTGGTTGGCTTTCCGAGAGGGCTCGATCCTGCTCACGCTCAGACCGCTGAGAAATAGCAGGCAGAAGATGGCTGACTCGACCGGGCACGGTGAGCCCGCAACACCAGCACCAGCACCAGCATCAACTTCACTAGGGCTTCTCGCGCGCCTGCCATTCGCTGCCACTCCGCAACTCTGAAACGGCCCCGCCTCGCTCCGTGCCGTGCGCCCGCGGGGTTTTTACCCCCAAATATTGACAGAGATTTAAAGAAAACATGGCTGAGATGGAGAAAGAGGGAAGACCTCCGGAAAACAAGAGGAGCAGAAAGCCAGCTCACCCCGTGAAGAGGGAAATTAACGCAGAGATGAAGGTAGGTTGTGCGAGCGCTCTCTCTCTCTTACTGGCGCCCATAAAGGCTTGTCATTTTTGGATGCGTTGAGCGCACCGCCGCTCCGCCCTCGGACTGAATATAGAGAACCGATTCATTCAAGCGCTGTGTGTTTGGGGTTAATCAGCTAACTTTGATTTTTTTTTTTTTTTGGGAGGGGGGGCAGAACAGGTCGGCATTATTTCCCTCCCGTTTCTGTTTTAGCTTAATTCACGCACCTTCCAGACTACTCTGGTCTCGCTTTCCAGTGCTTGAGGAATATTTTTTTATATATTAAATTATGGGTTTTTATTTAAACACATATTTGTATGAGTTTATAAATCATATGCACAGTAAATATAAAATGTCCCCAGTCACATCACGAGATGGTTTAGAGTGAAATCCCCTTGTTGGCTCCACTGTAGTTGATGGAAAATCCAGTGCGTCAGTCTCCGCGTCAAATTGCTGCGTTACTACTACTACTACTACTACTAGCGCGTTACTATATCTCTGCTAAACACCACATAAACATCAGAACTCAATAATGAAACGGAATGCATGTTGGAAGGGTGCATCTGTCCAGCTGTTCTGATGGGAAGCGCCGGTCACTCCAGATGTGCATCTGTTCAACACCAGGGGCGGACTGGCCATCTGTGTGATCTGGAGAATCACAGAACGGCCGGTACTCCAGGACGGCCGGCGGGCCGGCCCACCGGCCCACCACCCGCCACACACGCAGTCACAGACATCCCAAGTCTCCCGGAAGTTCCCTGCATATTTATAGCGGCTCACTGATGCCCGCAAATTAGTTAAAATCTCTCGGAATCTAGAGCGAATAAGAGTGCGCATGCGTAGCGCGCGCACGGCAGAGAGAGGGAGCGAGCTAGAGACCTTGCGTGTGTGTGCTAGTATGCACGTGTGCCTCACGAAGCGCATGTAAGGACCCAACCAATCAAGTGCGGGCGGGCTTTTATCTCTACTACTGACGAACCGAATTAATCAGAAATTACTTTGCAAGTTACTTGCTAGGGATGATGTTAGGAAGTGATATTCAGCTTGCTACATTTTTAATGATTACAGTAGTTAAAACAGCTAAACTTCAACATTTTAGCTGTAAAATGCCACATGCAGTAGCTAATATTAAGAAATATGTTGTGCTTTTACTTTTAAAAATGTTGGTAACGTTACAGTTAATGCTTACAAACTTTGAAGATTTTGAATACAGAAGTTACATTTGTAATGGTGTAGCCTATTTTCATTTAGATGTGGTATTATTATTTGTGCAGTAGCTAAGATTAATTACTGCATAAATTAATTAAGATTATTAAAGGGGGGGTGAAACACTCAGTTTCACTCAATCTCATGTTAATCTTGAGTACCTATAGAGTAGTATTGCATCCTTCATATCTCCAAAAAGTCTTTAGTTTTAATATATTTATAAAAGAAAGATAGGCTGTACCGAGTCTTTCCGGAAAAACCCGAGCGGGTGGAGGCGTGCCGTGTGGGCGGAGCTAAATAATCACGACACGAGCGCGCAAAGCTTTTGCGTTGAGAGCGTCTGGAAGCTGTGAGTGACATCCGAAAATAAACCATGGCTAACAATCAGATAGTAATCTCATGCAGAACAAGGATCTAAACAATACTAAGGGCTCGTTCATACAGAACGCGTTTTTGCTCACAAAAACGTGAGATGGGCAGTGAAATGGGTGAAAAACATAAGGTCTCGAGCGTTTTTTTTTAAATAGAAGTGATTTGAACTTGAGCGCAGTGTTTTTAGAACACCATGTCATGCGCGAGTTTTACAACATTTGTGTGTTGTAAACAGACAGACTCGTGGTTTATGAGGACATGATTTATTTTTACAATAAACAAACTGACACCTACAGTGGCCAGCTAAACAAATGTATTTAAACACACACACACCATACATCGCATGCTCCATAGATATACATTAACTGTATGTGATCATGTTGTTTACTTGCTGTGCTTACACGCCGATAGTTAACAACTCACAGACATTTGAAGCAGTTTTACTCACCGCCTGCGGTTGCAACGCACGACCGTGAACCTTTATCGTTGGGACTTCTCCATCTTTAAGTATTAGGCGATCTGCAAATCCGGCGTTGAACTGGGCTTTGTTTATAAAACTATTACCGTCGAAATGAAGGGAACAAACAAAAACACTTGCACAACTCCGTTGCTGCTCTGGAAAAACAAAATTCATCCACAGGTCCCTTAACGCTGGGTTCTTTGGAAATTTGTGCAGTGTTGTCTTGCCCTGGCAACCAAAAACACACTTTTTTGGTGCCATTTTTTTAATTGCAGCGCAGCCGAGCCCAGCGCTCTGATGGGCATAGGCGTACTCTCGCACGCACTAGGCTACAGATCCGCGCGCGCCCTTCCGGGAGAAGTGCCCTTAAGACCCCTATAAGGAAATTCCGGCCACTCTGACGTCACACACGCCCGTTTCGAAAAAAACTGTCCGAAACTTGTGACAAACCGGAAGGAGTATTTTTGGAACAGAATTACTCCATCAAACTTACAACTTCATTTTTGAAACTTTGTCCATGTTTAGCATGGGAATCCAACTCTTTAATAGTGTAAAAAACTCACTATGCATGAAACAGCATTTCACCCCCCCTTTAAGTAATAAATTCATTTTAAGACAGCATGGAATAGATTGTATAATTTGCTGTTAGCTAGGTATAGTATTATGAGCCACAATTAAAGTCTTGTGACACTCATGCCAGGCAGCAGGCGTTATTGTTGTTGTTGTCGAGTTTCCGCGCGCCGATTGCTTTGGGCCGGGCCTAGTCAAAGTCCAGGGCCGTTTTTTAGTCCCAGTCCGTCCCTGTTCAACACTGACTGTCTGCTCGTGACAAATGCACATTTCAAAAGGCTTTTGGGGGTATTTGCAATATGCAATCATGGTTTCGTTTATTCAAGATCTAGGAGACTTTCACTTTTTTGTTCTGTTTGAGGAGAGCCGTGTTTGTATGTTTTGAAGGCGCACACAGCCGCTTTGTCTCCTGGTTGTGCGGTGCTCATTGTTTGAAGCGTTTGCATCCGCTGCCATGCAGCCTAATGTTTTGAAAACGCCAGAATTTATTTGTGCTCTTTATCAGAACAAGCTACATTCATTCTGATAGCAACATCGTGGTGTACAGGGATGCATTTAATTAACATTCTTATTGATCTGATCATGTGTTTAAGTCACTGTAAACGCGCGTGTGGCTTTGGTGATTTCACTTCGTTTGCTTTCTTTCTTGTCAGTGATTATTTGACTGAACCTGCGCGAGGCTCACCGGTCCGCCGGGGCTCTAAATTTGACATATATTGATCGACCTGTAGCGGAGATACAAGCGTGCGTCTCCCCGGTCTCCTTAAAAGCACACACACACACACACACACACACACACACACACACACACACACACACACACACACACAGCAATGCTGTACTTGCAGAAACTGACTTATTCCGGAGCTGTGAGGTGTGAATTATTGGGGGTTTCTGGGGTCTGAACCCCTCTGATATCATTTCCTGTTTATGTCAAATGACAACAAAACCGCTGCATGCATGCATGCTGCATTTACTACTTTTTATAGAAATAATAATAAAAGTAATAATAAATGATGCCAATTTTATTTTTTAAAAATGTCAAACTTGACACCCTTTTCTTTTTTACAGTCTTCTGACAATTGCACCACTTAGATGTTTATGATTATCAAAATCAATTTTAATGCAGAAATTGAAAACTGCTCATCATAAAAGTTAATTTAACATCAAAATTAATTTAGAAAAAAAGAAAAAAGATCCAGACACAGTCACATCTTACCACAGGAGTGTTTTTTGTCTGCTTTTATCAATGAACAGAGTGAAATAAATCATTGTCACGAGTTTGCATTGTCTTTCACACTGCTGACCTTTCCTTTAATAAGGAATCAATTTTTGTACAATCAGTTTTTGACAGTAAGGAATTGGAACAAATATCTTGCTGCTCAAATAATCTTCCATTTTTTTTAAATATTTTTTTTGCTTGCCTTCCACTATGTCCTTTACATTCCTTGATATTGTACTAAAAGTAGTGTATATAAACAGATTTCGTATTCTGTCTGCTTAGAGCTTGAGGATGAAACTCAACTCAAGCTGTGCTTTGGGTTACTAAATAAGAGAATACAATTTGGAAATAATAATGGTGAAGTTGGGCAGATGGACAGATGCTGTAAGAATTTTCACCTGAGTGAAGTATATGCACTTCTCTTGTTTGCAATCATAGTGCACAATTCAGTGATTTCTCCCAATACTTCAAATCTGTAACACAGTGTTTAGTCTTTATTTTCTGCACAATGCGCATCTCCAAAGGTCTGTGGTGAGTGTTGGCCTTGTCAGCGGTGTTGTGTGTACAAGTCAGGCACAAATCTGTCATTTCATCCGTAGAGTTGTCATTTTGACCACAGGGCTGTGGATAAAGCTGATCTCTGCCTTGAGTTTTGACAGAGACCAATAGATTGTGAGGTCATCCAGCATCCAACAGTTTTTAGCAATTCACCTTACTTATGTCGGACGAATATATACACAATATGATAACATGGTCACACACCATGAAATAACATATAGTCGGTGATACCTTCTTTAGTAACATACAACATGCAAATTTAACAGCAAATCAGCCGAGCCTGCTGCAATGGGCAGTGCTACTGTATATATATATATACACGCACATTTAAAACAAATAAAGTCTGAGATATAGCCTATCAGTTTTGTCATTTATAATGTACTAGGTATGCTTCATCATCATGGGAACTTCTCAAATAATTGACAAAGATTTGTACCCATTATTCCCTCAGCTATCCTGTAACACTCAGGTGTTTTTCAGAGACAACCACCCTCAAAAAACCTTCTCATCCTGTGATCTCTCTGATAGGATACCGCAAGTTAAATGCCTCTTTGCAAAAATGAATAATGAAGAGAATGTGATGACGTATGAGATTGGCTCTTG